ATCCCAGATGCATCAACTGGCTTTATGGAGCCCATTCCCTATGGTGGGATACCTTGCTCAGTCTTGATACGGGAGGGGGCGACGGACAGGACTTGGTCCTGCCTCAACTTCATATGTCAGACTTTGTTGACTCCCCAAAGGAGGCCTTACCCTCTCTGAGGAGTGGATGTGTGGGTGGGAAGGGGGTAGCAGGGGCAAAGAAGGGGAGGGAGAGGGACTGTTGTTGGTATGTAAAATGAAAAATAAATTTAAAATTAAAAAGTTGTAAGGTCCAAAGTAACTTTTTATTTTACGTTCATATTAAGTAATTTTATAATAACCGTGCCAGAGATATATGCCATATGTTAACTCATAGAGCCATTCTGATAGCAGGTATTTATGTACTGCCTTTTAAATACAGAGAACAGCTATTGCTGCATTCATTCTGTGCCACTTTGTGTGAGGACCACTTTGGTACCTTCTTCCAGGGCACCAGTGAGGAGGCATTCACAATCAATCAAAATAAATTTATTCCTTGATGTCTTTCCCACCAAGTCTCCTCAAACTAGGACTTTCTTGGCTTGAGCCAAATACAATTTCCATTATTTATATTGCTTATAGGTACTGAAGAGATGCAACTGCACCCTTGTCTTTGTTGAACTCTTCTGCATAGGATGGGATGGTAAATGTTTCCACATTTTAATAGAATCAAGCCTCTTCTGCCTACTCATTCTAACACAGGATAAAAATGACAGTGTCACACACAGAGAACAGAACACTCCTTTGGTTGCTTCAACATGTTTTTTTTTTTCTTCTTTTTTTTTTTGGCCTCATTTTCTTCTCTGCTGAGCTTTTGAGTCCAAATTTAGTAGGGATGACTAAGAAATTGCCAGGATGTGACAGAGCATTCAGTTCATTGAGTCCTTCCTTGCCATTTTCCAATAGTTGTAACAATTGCCAAGACTTCCTCTTAGCGTTGTAGGTGCCACATTATTCTTAACAGCTGTTAAATCACTCATGCAAGATCTGTCCATGCAATGACAGCCTCCTTATAAATATAGCTGATTTTATTCTGTAGTATAAAGGAAATTCCCTGCAGACGTTTTGGAATCCGATACTCTAATAAATCATGTAATTTTCCGTATTTCCTGTCGATCACTGAAATCCAATATTCATACTAATCAGTGGTCCACTAATCAACTGGTCTACCATGAGCTTGGGGGATACAGCATGATAGATTTGGAAATAGGACAAGTTCATAGCTACCATACATGGGTATAAGTCACAGGCCATGCCAGTGACCTAGATAGAGCTGCTGGGTGTGATAGAGATTTAATCAGTTCTGTTTGGGAGAAATCACATGTAATTCAAAGAAGAATTATCTTTAATGTAGGCCTTGATGGATGAAACTAGGAGAGAGAGAAAGAGAAGGATGTGTTACTAAACAAGTGAATGCATTTGGAAAGGCATGTGTGCTTCAGTGGTGGAGGACTGAAAAATGGGGTGACTGAATAGTGGAGGACTTTACCAGAAACAGACAGTCATTGGTTGTTTACATTGTACGCAAGCTGAAATCATCCAGAGTTCATGAAGAAGGGAACCTTACTTTAAGAAAGCAAATACATCAGAAGAACAAGACCAATTATGAGATACTTAAAAGAGTCTGCTGAAGAGATCCTAAAGTCATAAACTTGCTATAAGTATGCAAGTTAAAGGCTATAGGACGCTGAAATTGAGAGCATATGGATGAATGCAAACATCCCCTGGGTTTGAGTGTGAGAAGCTGCAATTTGGTAGATTCCAGATACTAAAATAAGAGTGGGAGGGAAAGTGGAGGGTGGAAAATAAATTATCATTTATTTCTGTGTTGAATTCTTTCCCATCCTTCAAGACTCAGGTATCATGAGCT